TTCGCATTTAAAAAAATCAAATGCCGTCAAAATCAAGTGTGTAGCAATTTTTGAAATGTGATGGCAAAATGTTAAACATATTACATTATGCGAATCCATATTAACCTTTTGCAGAATTAGCAATTTGTTTACCATTATAGTAAATAAAGTTGTTGTTTTTTTTAATTTCAAATGCTAAGATATTTTTTTCATGCATAGTGTCAGGATTGTTCATACCCCCTAGAAAATAAAGTTAACATTTCTGTTCTTCCTAAACTAAAAATGCGTTTTAAAATGTTTGTTTCCGATGAATGGTTTTTTTTTTTTTCAAATATAAATTTGTATCATTAATTTGAATGTGAGCCTACAACAAAGCTTCATGATAAACGTGATGACTTAATTTTTTCAATTGTCAACTTAGCTTACTTATGTAGCAATATACCCATATCATTTGCATATGGGGTTTATGTCTCTCAGTTGATTCGATACGCAAGAGAATGCTCTACGTATGAACAATTTCTAAAACGAGGTGAGCTAACTGCAAACAAGTTGATGAAACAAGAATATCAACAGCCTCGTTTAAAGTATTCATTTCGCAAGTTCTTTAGTCGATACAATGTCCTCGTCAGCAAATACAGTCTATCATTAAGTCAAATGCTGACTGACGTTTTTCAAACTAATTGTTAGGCTTTTATTTACACACTGAATTGTCTATGGATTTTCCCGTTTTTCCCGATTATGTCAAGGAGCACACGGCGGGTATGACATGGTCGGCAAGGGATGGTCACTCCTCCATGGCACCTGATCCTACTTGATGTTTTAGAGGTCCGTGCTTGCTTTGCGCCTGATTTTGTTTTGTTTGAATGGACTTCTGAGCTTGAATACTCTTCATTATCTCCATATTTCATTCTTGGAAATTCTTCCTTACCTAGGGATTTAATAGACAGATTTTTTGCATTAAAATGAGCAGCTAGCTCTCTACAAAAATTATATAAACTTCATAAATATGTCATAAATTGTAATATATCATACCTATTTTCTTTACTCCTGACACTTCTAGGAGACATGAATGTGATAATGATTATAGTATCCTCAACATTGCTTTAACTAGGTCTTAAATATTACTATAATTATACCCCCGCTTGAAAAGCGGAGGGTGTATAGTGATGGGGTGTCCGTCCGTCCATCTGTCTGTCTTACGTCCATCTGTCCGTTATATTACGCTTTGAGTTACCCATCTCTTATCCGCAACTCCTCCTATACCACTAAAATTTAATGATAGTTTCACAGAATCTTTATTACATAGCCATTGTGCACCTCCTATTTTACTTTCTGATTGGACACATATTTCGGGTTTCCCATAGCAATATATGGTCACTGCAATTCTTTCTATATTATTTGGGGTGGACACATATTTCGGGTTTCCCATAGCAATATATGGTCACTGCAATTCTTTCTATATTATTTGGGGTGGACACATATTTTGGGTTTCCCATAGCAATATATGGTCACTGAAATTCTTTCTATATTATTTGGGGTGGACACATATTTTGGGTTTCCCATAGCAATATATGGTCACTGCAATTCTTTCTATATTATTTGGGGTGGACACATATTTTGGGTTTCCCATAGCAATATATGGTCACTGAAATTCTTTCTATATTATTTGGGGTGGACACATATTTTGGGTTTCCCATAGCAATATATGGTCACTGCAATTCTTTCTATATTATTTGGGGTGGACACATATTTTGGGTTTCCCATAGCAATATATGGTCACTGCAATTCTTTCTATATTATTTGGGGTGGACACATATTTTGGGTTTCCCATAGCAATATATGGTCACTGCAATTCTTTCTATATTATTTGGGGTATACCCATTTCTTATCCTCACTTCCTCCTCTAGTACTGAATAAAATTTAATTGAGACTTTCACAGAATCTTTATTACACACTACCATTGTTAGTTTTTGATTGTACACATATTCAGGGTTTTCTATCGCAAACAATGGACTTCTCCATTATACTCATAAGGGAGCGGGGTATCATTTTGTGAGCTCAGTACTCACAGTACCTCTAGTTTTGTTCCAATTTTATTTTCATTTCTCACAGGATGATTAATACATTTTAGATTTTATTTAAATGGGTTTACAATAGGTACTCCCTACGTGAGAGTGTATAATGTATAAAATGTGAACCCAAATCGTTAAGAGATTCCGTATATCAATTAAGTGCCAAATGTTTACAAATGAAAATATAAAAGCTGGTAAAACTAGTATTTTTTGTTTTGTTTTGAATATGCCATAGTTGCGAATGACACGATATTTATTTTTCTACACAGCATTTATTGTTGTCCATCACTTTGCCATGCATAGTCTGTAGAAATCATCGGCATCATCTAGGGTATTATCAAACGGAGAGATTATTCTTTTGTTATCTGGAGATCTAATTATAAATTTTGAGTATATATTACATTTTGATGATACTTTCTCACTCACAATGGGCACTGATTATTACACGTTATTTCTTTTGATTAATAAATGCACTGAAAATTAAAGTAGCGCTTGTCATTTATGTTTATCTTGTGTCTGAGTGGGTTTTTTCTTTTACTTCATATACCGTTTTGAAACAAAAATAATTATTTTTTAGCTTTGAAAATTAGGTTTTCCTTAGACTTTTTCTTCTGAAAATACTTTTTTTCAAGCATTGAAGATTTAAAGTTTTGCCTGAATCTTACCTTATTTTTGCATTGTCGCATATATGCAAATAAAATAAAACTGTAGTGAAGAATTGAAGCTGAATACAATATACATTGACTAAATTAGCAAACTAAATTCACCTGACACTAAAAAGGACCAGACATGAAGGAAAACTGCGTAATTTTATAAAAACAATCAGCTCCAAACCTACATGTATTATATGCAGCTTTATTACAAACGCCAGATCAAATACACAGTAAAATAACACATTTTCTCTGCTTTTTGCTTCTAGATGTGACAAATCGTGAAAGTCGAAATTTCTTAAATGTAATGAATTCTGTCGAAGATTACGCCAAACGATAGGTCAAACATGTTACATGTATTAGCTGACCTATTTTTTGTATTCATATGAAGCAGAATTTATTCAAAAAACTTCTACATGCAAGGAAGTCTCTTGCTGTCCATCAATTCAACATTTAGATATATCGAGGACGTTTCATCAATTAACAATATCCATTTTCATTCCTACGTCTATTCGATATTTCCTTTGAACTCAAAATAAAAGAAACCATAAAGTCTGACACATCTGTTTCATATTTAGGTATTTTACTATAGAAAAAGACATAAATGGCAAACAAACAAGAAAACTGTGATGAACGTGATGACTTCAACTTTTCTGTCGTCAACTTCTCTTATTTATGTAGCATTATACCATAACATTTGCATGGAGTTTACATATATATATATATATATATATATATATATATATATATATATATATATATATATATATATATATATATATATATATATATATATAAATTGTAAAGTGACTAATCATCTCATCATTTCTACCAAGCAAAGAAATAAATGGAAATTGGCAGCATAAACATATAAACAAACATATTGTATTTTGAATACAAGATTTTCATTGGAGAAAAAAAAAGTCATAAATAACAGTAATTAATCTTGTTTCAAAATAAATGTCACCGAAGAGTAATTACACAATAGATTTTTATCTAAACTAGAAGCATGCACACATTTCCTTGTCTCTGGCGGAAGAAAACAAAGCCGTATAACCAAATACTCTTCCGCAACATGGATATTTGAAGGCGTTTTAGAAAAAAGTACAGATTGATTTATCTGAGCAACAATTGTTTGCTCAACTGTACATATGTACTTTTAATAGAAATTACGGGGTTCTCTCTTGATTTTTATCATATATCTACTTAGCACTTGTGCAATTTGTCATAATACTCGAAAACCCATATAACATTAACAGACTGCCGTGCAACAACGCATGTCGAACCTCTGGATTTTTACTTATATATATATATATATATATATATATATATATATATATATATATATATATATATATATATATATATATATATATATATATATATATATATATATGAAGTACCAAAAATATTAAACTGAATTTTTGTAATATACTTGTAATTTTGATTCATGTTCTAAATTTGTTCGCTATATACTAGTGAGTTGTGAAATGACTTCAATTTAGCTATAGTTAACCTTAAAGAAAGAGGTCATGCATTCTTTAATTACGTTAAAATAGAAAAAAGTGACAGGTTTATAAAAAAAATTCCAGGATAAATAGAATTCTATATTCTACAAGAGGCTCAAGGGCCTTGACGATCTGTCCCCCCTTTTATCACTATCACAATGCATACTACTAACAAAAAATATATATATTTTTAATCCCCATATTATTACCTGTAGAATTCAAATGTAGTTCAAATCATGGGTAGTGGGGTTATTGTATAGGAGAGTGAGATTTAAGTTTTGCATGGAATATGATATATTTCTCCATTAGAAATTGTGAGGTTATAGAAAGTCAAACTTAAACAAGCACCCTTACTTTGTTGAAGTCATACACGTAAGCCTTGGAGCAAAGGTCAAGAGCAAATGATATCAAATAAGCGAAGTGGCCAAAGAGTCTTTTAATTTTTAATTCACTATTTTAAAATTTTACATCTCTTGACATTTAATTTCAAGCATTATAAAAAGTTAGGAAGGGAGATACCCGATTTCGTACCTTAAACGCCCCTCTCCAGTAATTAAGTTTTTGAACAAAACGAACTTTCGAAAAAGTTTAAACGTTTTGTCATAACCCATTGGTACACATTTGCATCCATAAATTAAACGTTTCTGAAATGGCAACATTACTGGACTCTGTCCTTTCTATCATTTTCAGGCCAACAGTAAAATTCTCTTTTTTTAAATGTTTCTTGTTAAAACACAAATAAAGTTTTTTTTTTTATAATTTATTTACAAAAGAGTAAAAATTTGGTTGGATGTTCAATAAATATATTTTAAGAATATGAATGCAGAATTCTGGGAAAAGATTGCCAGAACTGTGAACTGAATGATTCCTGAGAAAAATGTGGAAAAAGTAGCTTGGATTGTGATTTTTTTTCACTTAGAGGTACGTGAAATAGGGCTGTGTCTTGATATGCGCCACAGTGTCTGTTTTATACTCCGCACAAGTTCCGTACCACGTGTACGCTTTACAAACAGGTTTTTCTTTAAGAACGAAGCACTTTGATCCCATTATGTTGAAGTAGATTTTGCCCAAAAAGTTCGCATTTGGTGAAAACGACTGTTGAAGACATTGTCGAAATCTGAAAAAGATTAGAAAACTTCCAATTTCCATATTGATTATGTTATGAGATACATGTATATTTTATTGCAAAAACACACGACAGAAATCTGTTAAAAAGAGCAGTGAAATCGTCCAATAACTATATTATGAGATCAAAATTCTTATATATATATATATATATATATATATATATATATATATATATATATATTACTACCAAAACACACACAACAGAATAATGAACAGGTGTGCATTAAGCTAACAACATTAAAAGGATTGAAAACCGTACATAAAAATTTGGAAATGAGTTGTACTTGGTACATGTTCTACCCGGTATAAGTTTAGATATTTTTCGAGTGACTATTTGGAATCAACTTTAAATACAAATAGATAACCGGGATATATTTCTGAAAGAGCAAGACTCCCACAACGTTAATAAACAAAGAAAAAATAAGGATGTTCAACGAGTTGAAGATAATTATCCAGTGAAACATCACAATGAATTACGAGACACACCTATGATATTTCTGTGTGACTGAACGTGTATTGATATAACCGAATACTCCTACAACTTATACCCAGCCAGCCGAAAAAAAAAATTATGATTTGATTCAAATAAAAACATATGAATGTTCTCAATGTGGAGTCACCGATTTATTTTGATGTCTACCATTAATGAGATGGGATGCATAAAAATTAGCCGTTTTGGGTTTTTTAAGTCATACATGAAGTTCTTCTTTGAGGCATAGAGTTTTTATAATAAAGATTATAATTATTCTTCACCTAATTTTACATTTGTTATGGATTCAAGACTGTAAATATTTTAACCTCCCACCTGTAGTAAGTCTGAAGGTCTTTGGGCAGCGGTGTATAAAGATTTACGGGAGCTCTTCTGTCATAAAATAGCGTCTCCTATTTAAATTACATATTTTGTGAAGACTTTCCTATATAAAAACAAGCACTTGTCAGCTTCTCGTTAAATTATACACGGTATTATTTTTGTTTCTAATTTTATTTTTTCCCCTGATCTCTTTAACTAATTATACAGGAGGATCTGAAAGTTTTTCGGCTAATTTACTTTGAATCTAATGATACGGAAGAATATTATCCCGGTGGGATGTGGACCCCCTTACCACCCCCACACCCCACCCCGGTCAGGCTTGGACCTGGCTATGTTAAACTATTGCCCTTACTCTTTGGTATTTCGTGCACGTAGAAACTAAACCTTTTTACATAAGCTTTAAAAAGATGAATGCTAATGTCGATTTTCATTCATCTTAACGGCGAATGCTTAACGGTGAATGGAATAGAAGAACAGGGATCTTTAGGTCTACAAATATTTACTTAAGAAGATTACTGGGTCGAGATGCTCTTGTACTTTTTTTCTGTGGGGGATAATTACTTCAGTATCAACAGTAGCTTTACTCGTCTTTCAAATGAAGCAACTGGTGTATAAAATAGCATTTAAAGTGGCAGAATTTTTGTTAAAACGATATTTAATCACTGTGCCCTATTCTCCATTATCAAAAGTCCTTGTTACAAGGACGGACAACACGGCATGTCTATAATAAGGGTTTGGAGAGACACCTCGAAGATGAATACTCGCTGTTAGCAGTACATTCATTTATAATCGCTTCCGCAAACTTGTTACGAAACAGAAATACTTTCTTCCTTATAACAATCTCAAACATTTTTCATTATTCAAAAATTTGCCCTATATATATAATAAGAATAACCTAAGAGATAAGAAAAACATTTGGAATGGAATTAATTTTTTTTTATTTGTGTATAAAATGTATATTTAAATTTTTCCATATAATTTAATTTGGACTGTAGAGGTTAACCAAGAACTCTAAAATGCATGCATGCTAAAGAAGAATTTTTTTTTAATAAATGAAAAAAAGAATATGAACCGAGAAAGATGACCAACTTAGGAACAGATGTGTCTCCATCTGACTTCTGTGTGACCAGGCGATGTTATCGGAAGGTATAGTGTCTAAGATTAAACCAAGGATCAAATAAATTCTCCCAAAGAGAGCTATCATTAAAGTTGATTAATACCTGAGAATCTTAGTCCGATCCAAACAAACCCAGATCTTATCATCGCCATGACTTGGTGCAATGAAGAACCATAAATGATGCGTAGCCACGAGAAGACTGAGGATTAATTTATTTTAAATGCCAGAACACTCATAATTACTGGTCTTTTTCTAAACAGTTGACATGATCTTAAAAGGATCTCCGCTGTCCCTTCGGTTTTCAGGATTTATTGCTGACTACATATTAAATTTTTGCGTCCTAATTTATAACAATAATGTGGGGTATTGGAACAAAAAATTCGAAATATAAACATTAAAGAGGAGTATTCAAATTGATTCAACGAGTTCTTTGAATGGAAGTCCAGCTACATAACTTTAAGCTTCCCAGGTGTTTAACAGGAGTAGGAATTTTCTCGCTTATTAAATAGTTCCACATTTTATCTGGCTTTTCTTGATTTTACTGGCTGTTGGACCATGAATTTTTGCATCCCTTCTCTTAAAAAATATATATTTTGCTGTCAATAAAACGTTAAACTTTCTAAACTCTTGCAAATGCAGGTAGATATGAATAAAAGTAAACATTAAACGTAGATTTATCTACACCTATCTTTCTAAAAGAACTCTTGTGGTCCAGCTTTAATGGAGAATCTAAATTTATTTTTCTGACTGCTACTTTTACCGCGTTCATAAAATGCATTGCGAGTTTTGTACCAATTAGATTTGAAAGAAGGGAGAATAAGCCGAAAAAAATGCCCATATAAGAAAGTAAAAAAAAAAAAAAATCTCAAGCATAACAAAATTTTCTTTCATATTCCAGTTATTATAAATGTCTACTGATGTACATGTATATCTCCACAAGTTGCTTCATTCTCATAAGTTTTGAAATCAATTGTCTTTGAAATAGCATACACGCGCCAAAGAGGCCAAAAATTATAATTTCTTCGTACTATATCACACAGGGTTTTTTTTTCCATAAGTGGGTCTTTGCTCCATTCCAAATAATAATGAATTAAGAAACCATTGTTTCGTTTAAGAAAATATCAGCATCCGTATATTTTAAAGAGGTCGGGCGCTCTAATTGAAACGAAAAGAAAGGGAGAGCGTTTTGAGATCGATCATAATTAAAACGGAGATCTATATAGGATGGCTAGATCTGTGTGGTCTTTTCTGTCTGATGCTTCATTAGGAGTATACGTCTCAGACTCTAATATCAATCAGTACACTGGAATTGGACACCGTGTTCTGTAATGTCGTCAGCAGAAATCAGGGTGTTATCTTACTTATTACATAGCCATAGAACAGTCCCTATCTGCCTCAAAAGTATAATAATTTTGCTCAAAAAATTTAATCTCACGCCACAATAATTTCTACTAAGACCAATTATAGGTTTTCACAGTAAGCGGATATGAGGATATATTTCGTCTAAAAAATAAATTGACATTGCAGGATCATTTGTATTTGAATAACAACTGCATTATTAATTCTGCAATATATCAATATCTTTGAGACGGAAAATTCATGAATGAACTATATGTTCATAATGTGCACAATATCCTGCAATTCAATACCCTTTCTGTGTGGTAGGAATGAGTAAATCCCTGGTCGTGAACTGGTGAACCCATACGTAATTATTACTGCATCTGTGACTATGATAAAGAAAAAATGGAGTTAGAAATTCGATATTCCGAGGTAGAAAAAAGTGCGACATGGTGACAATAGAGATGTCATCGACTCAATATTTGTCTGTAATTTACGTACAGTTCACAAAATTCATTTTTTACATTTTTACAGAATTGTTGTCGACCCCCGGTGTTGATGTTATTCAGGCAATCTGACCTGGTTTCTTTTGGGGGAGAAAACCCTTTACACCTTTTGTCACCACGACATAACAGATATGACTCACATTAAAGTACTTATTACTAATTCATAGATTATAATGAATTTTGACAACATCAAAAAGTGATAATCATAGATCTGAATAAAACTTGCACCTCCGAATGATTTAAATAAATTTATTGTGTACTACTGCATTAAGTAGTAAAAGATCTGAAGCGTGTGACATTAATTTAAAAAATAAAGTCACAGAGAAGTGAAAAAACTTTTTTCCCCCTTAGATTTCCATATGCGTTTAAGGACATTAAAAATACCGATTATTATAATCTTGCATGAAATGGACAACGGGTCAAGTGTTATGACTTCTGTGAAATGTCATTATAATGGTTCTTCTTTGCAGTTAATGCAATGTGCAAACCACAAATATAAATCGGCTTACAGAAGTACACAACAATGTTCGCTGATGCAGACTAAGGAAGTTTTTTTTTTTTTTTAATTCATACAAGCATTCAGCGGCCACCTGCGTAGATTAAATATGAAGATAAAACATTTCTAAATTTGTTTTATTTCTTATTTTGTGTTATGTTCACTGCTTTTCCAACGAATGCATTTTCTTTTAAAATCTGTGAAATCATTTTTTTGTAATTATAAAAACGTCACTCCGCTGAACATGCTTTTAAATTAATTTAGGTTTTTGGAAAATCATTTCAATTCTAAAAAAAAAAAAATAATCTTAATAAATATCACTTTTGTGGTGTTCGCTCGTTATTTGTCCATTCGAGGATCACTTACATGCAGCTAAAACTCTAATTTTATTGCTTAACAATATTATTTATTTTGACTAAGATATAAATTATCGTGTCACTATGAAAAATTCCGTTCTGTTAATAATATGCTTCATATATTAATATAATGAACAGTGTGTCACAATTAAAAACTTAATTAAAATTTTTTAACGCCCAAAATATCCATTAGCATCAACAATATGGCGGTTACATGCACGTTCCATCTTTCATCCTATTTAATATATGCGAATTCGTACCGTTTTTCTACGGTACCCCCATTTCCCTTTCTCTTCTGTCTCAATACTTACTCGTCATCACATTTACAATGCAGCACAGCGTGGAAACGGAAATTAAAGTAGTGGAACTTTTTGGTAAAGGGTTCTATAATAAGGGGACAGAAGTCGTGGTCCCTGCAGCACGTGTCTAGCTCGTTATCCTCCCCTAACTCGTCGTACTCAGTGGCAAGTTGTCCCCTCCCACACCATTTGGTGCCGGGGTACATCAGGAAGCTGGCAAACAGCGAGGACCTCTTCCGTCGTCTGCTTCTTTTGGTCCCTCCTTTTTCGTTTGTCAGAGAAGGTTCAACATCGTACACCGGGATGAATTCTTCCCTTGGAAGACGATGGCTTCGTTTGATTTTATTAGCAATTTTGTGACAAATTTTAATGTCATGTCTGATTTTTATCAGATCTCTAAATTTCTGCAAAAACTTCCTACGTCGAAAAAACACAAGAGCACTGGCGTTTGTTTCGCGTGCATTGGAACTGTACAAAGAAAACACATCACCCTGTTCTTTTCGGTAGAAAATTTTAGAGTCGTTAGCAAAATCCTGCACAAACTGCAAAATAGTAGCGTTTTCCACAGAGAAATCACAGTCTTTGACGACACCGTTCTGGTATACAGTCTGTATCAGTTTGCTCCCATCCGTGATTTGATGCAATGTTGTTTCATAAATAGAATCCAAAAATGCGGTGGTCTCCAACATAAGAATTCCTTTGAAAGCAATCCGAAGTTCTCTTTCATGTCTGAAACTGTTGTATCGTACGCTCACAAAATTTTTATTTGCGTTACCTTTCTTGTCAGACCATTTTCGGCTGTCTGAGTATTGAACTAAGCATATAAATCCAAAACACAATGTTAAAATTCTTTCCTTGATTTTTTTAGGTTTCATCGTTGTTCATAATACACAAAATTTACTCTTTTTAAAAAAAGACCTTTAATAAGCTATAATTGCTTCATTTAAACTCCATATTTACAGGCGGGAGAACAAGGGGGAGACTGGAAAACTGGTGGATTACATTCTACCTTATACGAGCATTCCACGTTTGACTTGCGTTTGACAAAAAGTTCTCTCGGCGTGATTTGCTGCTCTCAATGATAGCGAGTTCCTCTACTTAACAGTCCTAGACAGAAAAATGACTAAATATTAAACTGACATATTTAATTTAGACAAAAAAAATTATTTCGTCACAGTAAAAAGGGTAATCAGGTGAGGAAATTCTCGCGTGGTGTTTTCTTTTTGACGACAAATTTAGTGGGTTTAATTTTGACACATTTGAAATACTGTTAAGAAGAACGGCGGACAAATAAGACGTATTGTATAAAAATGATTAATGTCAACCCTGTGGTGAAAGTTGAAGTGCAAACTGATGAATAAGGTGATTAATTCAAGTTCAAACTCTCCTTGATATGTTACGAGTGTAATCATACATGCATGCATGTAGGAATTATGATTGAAGATATACATATATCTTTGAGGTATTTTTTTATGAGCTTAACAACAAATAAGTAATAAAAATACAAAGAGGAATGTAAAGTATCCAGGTTTAGTTTACATTAGGTGTTCATTAATTGATTATCTCGTAGGGGATGCAGGCATTATTTACCAACCAATTAAAATGGCATTAGTTTCAGTGTGTTGCACTTTTGTCTAGATATAAGTCCTAATGAACTGCTGCATTAATTACGACACGGAAGTGTTCTTAATTAGACATTAATTGTTATTAGCCAGTCTAGATAGTTTACATCACTGTTTGTCTTCCTCCTCCGTGTTTGTTACGTAATATAAAGGACCATACAATTCGTGTGACCATATCAAAAGTCCAGGACTGCAGATTATCTCTACAAAATGCGACACAATATACGTTTAAAAGGTATTCATTATGATGTAATAACGTAATTGTATTGTAATATTTTCATGCAATCTCTAAATTCCCACGCTAGAAAAAAAATCATGTTATTTATGTGTAATTTGTTGTGATAATGCTTTTGTATTGAAATCATGTCTTGTAATCTTGATATTTAATTTCACAGAAATGAAGAAGCTTAAGTCCAAAAACTAACACGTTTTAATTTGTACATCAAATTTGGTAGTAATGCCTAAATTTCAGTGACATTTATTATATATTTATTGAAGATCGGGTATAAATCTTACCTCAGGACTGTGAACGGCAGAAAGCCATAATTTCATATTTTGAAGCGTAAAGCTAGTTTTCCACAAAACGATGAATAAAACATGGTTTGTCTAATTTGTATATATTTGTTGTCTGTTTGTCAAGAAAGCATCACCATGACACCGTTTGAAATATTTTTATGGGAGTTTCTTGAGGGAATGATATAAATATAAACTTTCTACTTTTTTTAATGACAATAACACGAATACAAAAAAAGGTCAAAAAATAAAAGGGAGTTTTTAAAAAAAAAAAAAATAAATTGAAGAATTTATATGTAGTAATACATTGATTATTTTCTATAATTCAATTTGTTTATTTATATTATAACATATATCGGAAGGGTATTGTTCATTTTCGTCTATACGCATTTAGATTGTATGGAGTACATGTATATGTATAAAATATTTTTTTTTAAAAAATGAAATTAAAAAAAATAATAACTAATTATAATGTTTTTGGTGTGCGTGACAGATTATTCATTTATCTATAGATGGGAATTTAAAAATACATTATTTTGATACTAGAAACTTACAATGTACATTCGGGCCTAAACCTTCTGGAAATTTTAAGCACATTCTATATTGTCAAATAAAAACTGACTACGAGTACGGCAGTGCAATACTGATATATGCTCTAGTAATTTCCACAAATTACAATCCTTAAAAGAAAATCCGTACACGTTTATACTGTAGTACTCTCATTCTAATCCACGACTATGAGAAAAAGTTTATTAAAATCTCTATTAAAATCTTATTCAATAGAAAAAGAATTTCATGTTTTTAATATTAGAGAGATCGGTCACTAGGACAAGCGACCCTACCTTATCTATGATATACAATCTTCTTGTAGTCTCAAGTTAGGAACGATTTTTTAAAAATATATTATATAACGAGACTCGTAAAAATTATTGCAAAAGAATGAGTGTCACGAAAAACGCCACAAGGAATGGAATTTGCGTAATTTAATTATATACGTAGTCTCGGGAATCAGGCGAGCCAGATCAAAGGGAAATAAGTCTGGGTCGACGGAATTTCAAGGCTAGGCTTTGAGGTTTCTGTTAATATCTATACTGGTAGTTTCTTTTATTGAATTACGGTGCTTTTTATTGAATGTTTCTAACAGTTCGTTTGCATTTGATCTTCATTGATCGGTTTTATGTCATCGACCTGTCTCTATTTTCTCTTTCAAATACGACCGTCAGCTCAGTCAGAAGAGCGCTCGCTCCGTGATCGGACATGGCCGCGACAGACCTAAGTCGATAAATAATAGGTAGCAACTGTTCCTACATCAAGCGCTCGGCAGTTTGAAGTGAAAGTAGCGGGTCTTTCGGATGAGACCTTAAAAATCGAGGCCCCGTGTCACGGTAGGCGTTGGCACGATAAAAAACCCTCACTGCTCAATGACCCTGAGTGCCGAGTAAAGGTCTAAATTTGAAGCTCTTCACCGGTATATGGTGACGTCTCTATATGAGTGAAAAATTCTCGAACGAGACTTAAAACAACATAAAATTAATCAATCTTTCAAATACGAAACTTCGATCCTGGGTAATAAAGTTATTTGAACTTTGGACAATTTGACTTTCATCAAAATAAAAAAAAAAATCGGACGGTGGACGGTAATTGCATACCACCTTCTTCATCAGTAATCAGAAGATAAGGCATATAACTTAAACAAGCAGTTTCAAGACACCTTCTCTAACAACTGTACATAACAGGTGATGTCTAATAACCGATGCGACATAATTTAAGGTTAACATTTGGAGACTGAAGACGGACACATAACAGCAAACAGAGCCCGTAAATTATTAAGCGAAGGGGCTAAATGGCAACCACGTTAGTCGAAATCAAAAACCAATATATAGAATTATGTATCTCAATGTAGTCTACTTGTGTACTACTAGTAAGTTATATTGAAATGGGACCAAAACTGTAGGAAGAGTAGCTTTGGAAATATTGTTTACAAACAGACAGACGGGCGGACGGACGGACGACGAGCACCTTACTATCGCATAAACTCTTCTGGCCTCTGACCAGAAGAGCTGAAAAGGAGAGAAATAAAAAGTCCGGTGTCGCTGACGTGAATCTCAAGCAAGATAATGGAGCAAATCATCACAAATCATCATGAAACTGGAAGCAAAGTGAAGCCGTGGAGGATGAATCCCAATGGGTTCCAATGTGCTCCAAGACTCGGTCCTCGGACAAAATCTATTCAACGATATGCCTGGGGGTCTCTTATGAATTGCACGACTCTTCGCTGATGATACCGTCGCATAAAATTAATATGAACTCAGGTATGGTTGCAGAAGCTGCACTTTGACCTGAACCAACAAGCTACCTGGGAAAATAAATGGCTCATGTAGTTCCATCCTGAAAAATTTAATGTGCTTACAATTACAGAACCCTAGAATCATCTGACCACCACTTAAATATATATTTGATATCCTCACCAGAAATGATATACTAGTATTCAAAAGACAGCGTCAAGAGCAGCCTGGTATGTCAGAACACGTTATCTGTAACCGAGATGCTTGACCAGCTATAATGGTCATCATTAGAAGAGCGGCCAAGAACACCCAGCCTCAGTGTTATGTATAAGCTGATTAGTAATACAGTCAAGATTGACACTAGCCAGAAACTTAAAATCTAAGATCAGGAACAACAGCATCCTAGCAATACAAATACAGGCACCTATAACTCGAACACAGTGAGGAAGGAATCTTTCTAACCACGAGTAGAATGCCCTTTCTTATGGCATGTCAAACGTTGCAATATTCGATCTTTTCCATTTGCATTGTATAATTTTCCATTTGTATTGTATAATTTTTATTTGTATTGTATAATTTTCTATTTGTATTGTATAATTTTTCATTTGTATTGTATAATTTTTATTTGTATTGTATAATTTTTCATTTGTATTGTATAATTTTTATTTGTATTCTATAATTTTCTATTTGTATTGTATAATTTTCATTTGTATTGTATAATTTTTTTTGTATTGCATAATTTTCCATTTGCATTGTATAATTTCTTATTTGTATTGTAAAATTTCTTATTTGTATGCGATAATTTTTCATTTGTATTGTATCCGCGGACTGTTTATTTGTTTCGTTACGAAGGATTTCATTGGTCAAGTTTCAGCCTGTATCGGGTTGAAGATGTTCCGGATGCTCAAAGCAAACTGGGCTCATATTATTTGCTTGATTGATTGATTGGTTATTGTTTAACGCCGAGTCGGCAATATTTCAGCCATATTTCGGCGGCATATGTATTTGCGTGCATGTTAGACGGTCATTTGATTCTAAAAAGGGAGCGCTGGTAGATGGCAAATAAATAATCTGTCCTTAGAAATGCTGACTGAGAATATAAATAAATTGACCTTGAGTGGTGGTAACTACCCCCACCCCTAAAAAACTGAGTTTTCGGGTTTGGGCAGATTTTCTTCTTTTTGTTTTTCTCCTTGTCTCTGGTCATATTGGAAATAAATATTCTCTCCTGCGAGAGAATGAAAATAAATAATCGGATTCGACACCCCCCGAGAATCAAATGGTCGTCCCTTAGCATGCACCGGAAATAGAGGAGCCGAGTTTGTGTTTGTAGAGAGTGCGCGATCGGAATTGTGGGAAGGGTACCAGACTAAGTTTGTGATGGGCACCTGAGACCTTTATACAGACTAAATTTATGACCAATGACATCCTTCGTAACGAAATAAATAAACAATCCTCGGATACAATACAAATGAAAAATTATCGCATATAAATAAGAAATTATACAATACAAATAAGAAATTATACAATGCAAATGGAAAATATAGAATACAAATGATAAATTATACAATACAAATGATTTTTTTTACAACACAAATGGAAAATATAGAATACAAATAAACATTTTACAATCC